TTGTGCTTTAATTACAAAAGTATACTTTAATAATAATATCATGGATTAAAATTTTGTGTTAAAACATAGCTCTAAATCTTTAATTAGTTTCGACTAAATAAAATAAATAAACATTTAAAACCAAAGTTATCCACTAATTAAATTAATATTTTATATAGTAAACCTATTCCGCATAAACATAATAAACAATTGTTATCATCAATTAATTCACGCTTTTCCAAACATAATTGGTGACACTGTAATACATGCAAATTAACATGAATTGTTGTAGAAATGAACTGTCGACGAAATAAACTGTCGACGAAATGAACTTTCGACGAAATGATTGTCGATGAAATGAATCAGACCCCTTTTTTCCCCGTATATTTTCTTTCAAAGTATTCTTTTTTACAAATTAAACTATTACATTTCATAAAATCAAATTGTCTTTATATACATATACGAGTTGTGTTGAATTGATGTTTTTTCGAATTTTTGTCTTTGACATCTTTAGTATCTTGTTTGAAGCAACACAAATTGATCAATATTGGTACTTTTACATAGCACACAAGACAGGCTTTGTAAGTTTTAATTTTGTTTTCTATTTTTATCACTTTTAAATATTTAATGATGAAATTCTTTATTGTTGAACCACAATAAATCGATCACTAGAGTTTGATGAAGAAGAAGTTGTTCTTTAAATAATGCAATTTTCTATTTACACCCTCTATCAATTAATCCCGTTAGAGAAAACTTAAAGGTAACTATAAAAAGATGTTGTACGAAAAAAATTGTTTGTTACACGATATTAAGTTCTCCGCAAAGAAAACAGGTTTTTAAACGAAAATGCAACAGAAAGTTTAGATTACCATTATAACATGATGATGTTCTGGCGACATAGCATTATAAAATCATGCGACTCAATCACATACATATATATTCGTTCGGAGCATCAAAATTAGCACTAGATAGGGCATCCTATCGTGTATTCATGATCAATGATGCATTCTTTAATAAACATAGACTATATCATGGCCAGATGGTGTATTGATAGGGTGTAGTCTAATAAGTATAACAAAAACATATAAATAGACCCGCTACCCCCACTTGTGAATCAAAGAATCGATTACTTTTTACGTTTCATTTGAATTCGAGGGTCGAAGCACGTCGTTGCATTCAAATGCGAGGATCTATATATTCATTTGGAGCATCAACATAAGCCGGTCATACTATTATTTTATTCGTTGCGTTGAGCAAAGAATTTATTTATTTAAAAAAAAATTACACATACAAAGGGAAATTATCCACGAATTTAATAAATTTAATAAAAGAGCCTTTGGAAAGAAGAATCCTCATGTGAATCAAAAGTTATTTACAAATTTCGATTGTTAAAAACATCAATTAAGATTTTTTTTCCCAATTATAAAAAAAATTTTTTGTCCTGATCTTTTCTCGTATTTATTTATTTATCACAGAACAAAGGTCAATTGGATCGATTAGATTTTTTTACGTCTATCGCTATGGAAGAATAAGCTTCATGTAAACATCAAAAGTAATTTACAAATTTTGATTGTTAAAAAAAAATCAACTAAACTTCTTTTTTTTAATTTTTTGAAAAAAAAATCCTTTACAAAGATTAATCAATGGGATTTTATTTGTTTTCTACGAAAGGAATTAAAAACAAAAATTTTCCTATCCAGATCATCCACTATCTCAAATGATAGATAACGAACGATAGACATCACGCAAAAAACATCTAAAGCAAAAACGATTTTTTTTCTGTCAAAGTATCTGCTTCCCTCAACCCTGATGCTTTGAACAAAAATAGATAAATTTTTCGGAGCCAAATAGATAAAAATGGGAATTCGCATGATACGGTGATGTAAAAATAAATACAACCATTTATCACTTTTGGAAAACGAAAATATGTGCAGCAAAAAAAAAGAAAAAATGGCTTGTTACAAAGTTTTACACCTTGATTTTAATCTCACCCTTCTCCAACAATTCAGTTGAGCAACAAAATCTTTAGGAGATTCGTGATTCGTTACCGTAACTGCACTGAATTTACCATTTAAAGTCTTAACGAGTCTTCTTTGCAGCGAAATATTTCCCATACAACCAACATTTCAAATTTGGTAAAATTAAAATCTACGACATTTCATTTAGAAAGAAACTGTAATAGTAATAGTAACACTTTTATATATGTTAAAAAGGAAATAACGTAACTGTTATTCCCAAAAAAAAAAAAAAATCTCAACTCTTATTCATTAAAATACCAAAGTCAATTTTATATTTTATATTTTATATAACTTAATTTCCAAGAGAATGCAAGTTTGAAAATGCAGCTTCCATCACATCTTATTAAATGGGTTTGAAAGTCCAAATAACCAAGACAGAGGAAACTTGCCCAATAGAGAAGCTTTAACCAAGGAAAAAATAATCCAAACTAAATTTAGTAATAATAACTTGGAACAAGAAAGAAACACACAGAAAGAAAAATGGAGTTGAAAATCAACTAAAAGGTGCATAATCAAATTGAAAGAACCTTATCTATTTTGTAAGTTTTTGAACCAATTACTCATGTGAAGGCTATCAAAGGATAATATAATTGGAGCAAAAAATGATGGCTCACTTTGTTGTAACATGCACCAATTAATTAATTCTAAAATGTTTATTTCATTGAGTAGGGCTTTAACCCTTTTCTGAGTGGGGAATAAATAAATAAAATTATAATGTCAAAGAATTATTATTATTACATGTTGCACATGATGCAAGCTTGGTTTCTAAAATAATTGACAGTACCAACCAACAAAGCATGCTAAACTTCATTCTCGCTGCCTAAAATATAATCAAACTTAAGAAATTTGAATTAGGCGATTGTAACAATTAATTAATAAAACTTATATCATGTTATATATGATATATTATTTTTATATACTATTTATTATATTTCCATAAGTCAAATGAAGTTTGTGGCTTTTTATTGGAAATTCTGAAAACTTCATATTCATCAATTGAAAACACTTTACAATCTGTAATACTAGTGCAGTAATCATCTTTTTGTGCTGAACAACTACCACTCTCATTGAAACAACCTTTCATACACAAATCCTTGTCACCAAAACATGGACCATAATTATTACCATTAAATCTTATTGCATAAAATGAACGTTGATGTAACACTCTACTCAACCTGGCATCTTCTAATTTCCACCTATTACCAAATGAAAAAAGAAAACTATCCTCTGTGATTTTATAATCTATACTTGTTGTCCACATCATTGGATTATATCCACCTACAATCTCGCCAGTTTTATTAATTCTCATCACCACTAATGTTCTTGCTATATCATCACATTTCCTATGGAATGTCTCAGTGTCGAACCCGTCCTGTGTGCCTCTGAGCAACAATCGAAATTGATAAGGCATCTCCTCACAAGTGTAAGATTTTTGATCTAGTCTATCAATCCAACTTGATATCAATGCTATATGATTTGGTCTTAGCAATGATGAATCAAATTGAAATCGTTTTGCTTGAACAACCGGTAGTGGCGGAGACATTGGATTCAAGTGGTAAGTCATTATTTCTTCAAACATCTTATCAGGTAATATATATCTAAACGGCCATATCTTATTATGAAAATCAGTCGAAGAAATTTGAGAGATGGTGATGAGAGGTATTAAATTGTTCAAAGTACTGGCTAACAAGTCAAAGTCTTTTTTTGCCCAATTATTGGTGGTGATGGTGGCGGTGGTGGTCATCATCACATTCACATTATTCGCATTACTATCATTGTTGTTGTTGTCATGTAGTAATAAATATGGATTTTGTGCCAAACCCCATTTTAAAATATTATTCCATAATTCAATCTCTTCAATTTCTAAACCATCTAATTTTAAAAATTCGGATAATGTTTTTTCATCCATGCTTAAGAATTCAGTAGATGCAAATAGATACTTTATTGGATCTTTACAAATCAATTTTATACAATAATCTTGTAATTTTACACATGATTCATACTTGTATATTTTTTCCCAGACTATTATTGAATTTTTTTCTAACCATGCAAACCCATTTACTAATAAATCATTTTGTATATATTCTGACAATTCTGTAAGTAATAATTCATCTGACGCGATCAATAAATCAAGTGCTTCCATAGTATCCAGAACTTCCATACATACGCTTCCACTATATATAAATCTGTTCAAAAAATTTTATCATTAATTAAAAAAAAATTATATACATATATTGTTTTGTTTTTTCCTCTCCCCTCTCTCTCTACCTTAATATAATCTCGAATATATTTGGTTTGATATTTGGTTTAGAATAAATTAAAATGTTTCCATCTTTTCTGGCCCAATTTGATGATAAAGCTGTTCGAAAATAAGGTGATCTTGCTTTTAAAATAATTGAATGTGCATAAAATGTTTTAAAATCGGGTTTCTCTCCAACCTCGATCGAAACATTATATTCTTCTACATCTTCCAATAAGCCATTTATGTCATTTGCTAAAGTTGATACAAATTTAAATGTGTTTAATCTATTCATTTATCAAGTTTATTTTTTGCTTGGTTCGTTCGATTGAAAGTGAATTAAATGAATAATCAGAGATTGATTGTGTAGTACAGTTTTTTTTTTTAAGGCAAAAAACTCAGTGAACAATTGTTTTGGTTGTACAAAGTGCTACAATCCAAATATATATATAACTTATATATTATTATTGAAAATCATCTCACTCGGCCTTTAGATTTTATCCGATTTTAACTTAATTTGTTTTGCTTAATTTTTATGAAGTTCCTTAATAGTATTTTCTAATTTCTGATTCAGTTTAGCAATACCATTCTCTAATTGTTGATTTTAATTCCTTTTTATCTTATTCATTTTTATTGTTTATTTTGTGACTGCTGGCTAAATTCTTGATATTTCGGCTCTATTGATGATAATTAGAGTTGATTTAATCTCTATTTCTCAAACTTTTTTCGACTTTTTGCTTAATCAAGATTACATTATTTTTCATTTTTTTCTTTAAGGCGGTTATTTGTTGGTTCTTTTTATCTAATCTTTCTTTATTCTATTTCCGCTATTCAACAAAATATAAATGAATTTGGACTTCCACTTCTAATACTTAAACTTCGTTTTTTAAATTAGCCATGGCTCTTGGAGCTTTTAGACCCTCTTGATAACAAATTCCAGAAATAATTGTTTACTCCAATAATTCAAAAATGGTTTATTCATTTCTCCACTAGATTCTACATCATTAAATAATTTGTTAATCCCTACTTTCTAGTTCATCGGCAAATTCTCTTTTATTATTATAAAAATAGCCAAGTACACTTTAAAAAATTTTTTTTCAGGGATTTTTCTGTTTTTATGGACATGTAGCATAATAACATAAATTTACTTTTCATATTCCAGTTCTTTTGAAACTCTGTTCTTTTTTTAAAAAAACTCCACACATTCACCACAAAAGCTTGACTCGTAAATTGAAAATTCATTATTTTCATCATCATTGGTCTGGTCAGTTGATATTTTCCAAAAATCATTTGAGCAAAATTTTTTGTCGTAATTTTAAAAGAGGCAAAAGTCTCATCAGCTTTAATTAATACCTTATTCCAATCACAAATTACCTTTAATTTATATACTTTTTGTTGGCTGACTTGTTTGAAGATAACTAATGTTGTTTTTTGACATAAATTTTTTTTAAAAATGATCAATGTTGTATTAAGATCATGCAGGCAGAAATGAAATTTTAAGGAGAAAAAGTACATAATGTCCTGACAAGTAAAATTTTTTTGACAGAGTTGCCCTTGATATGTTTGTTAAATTTTTAGTCTGTGTCTCTTTTCCGTTTAGTACAAGGGTTTCATTGCCTTGTTATCCAAGTGATAATAGAAAATTTTTAGTGGTCAATTTTCTATTCGATTCCCTTCCCAATTGTATGCAAATGCAAATTGTAAAAACCATTTCTGAAAAACTTGTTCGATTGCAAATACTGGTCGAGTATATTATTCAGATATTTATAGTATGGGTGTGTCAATTCGAAAAATTAGTATTGTCATTCGCACATGACCATGGAAGTAAATTCAAGTCTCTGTCTTATAAAAAATTTTGTAAGTAAATGTATGGTTCTTCCATACATTTTCTGCATATTCTATATGGAATTTATACATTAAAAGTGTGCTTTTCCATACATATTTGCCCTGAAAATGTGCTGAAAATGTATACGTTTTTTGAAAAAAAATTTTATAGGGTAGCACTCATGTGATTATTGCTTTGTGTCATCCCAACCTGTGAAACAAAATTGGTGCCTGCAACTGGTACAAAATTCTGCAACTTGGAAGGTTATTGACTAGTTTGGTGTTTTGTTGAGGGATACACCTATTCACAAAAAAAAAACATCCATTTAAAAAATATAAATCCAGTTAATCAAAAAAAAAAAAAAAATCAAAGAATTCATGAAAATAATTAAAATCCAAACTATTTTATGACCTTATAGGTCATTTTGCTAACAAAGATGTATATAATCATGCGGGAATTTTAGTCTATAGGACAGGGAACTAATTGGACAAAAGCTCAGTCCTCTATTCAAAACTATAAATTGGTTGTATCAAAAAAAAACAAAAAAAAAACAAAAAAAAAAAATTAGGAAAATAATTAATTTAAAAACTTTCCTTTTAATATCAGAGCATAAATACAACTACAGAATCCTTAACCCTCCTTGAATTGCAAATTCCCTCCCTGAGCTCAAAATAAGTTGCAGATTCTCATTGCTTTGATAAATCTATAACTTGGTTGCAGAGCCACATTTTTACCCTAGAGGTAGGATCATTCCAGACAAATTTACAGCATTTTCTTGGTCAGGTGTTGTGAAGAAAGATTAGGATTCATACAAGTGTCATTGACAACAATAATACAATCTTTTGATAAACTCCAAGGCCATGCATCACTCCCTGGGAATTTAGTTACATAATTGTGTCATTGAGTGTAGCAGTCAGATTGGCCTTGTATACACAAGGAACATGTGAGAATGACATAATGCCTTCAAGGTAGTGTGTGTGCCTTGAATGTCTGTAAAATTTCCATTAATCAAACATTACATATCTAAATGCTTTTTTTTCAACAGCCAGTCATGTTGCCTTGACATTTTCTTCATTTACTTGTAATTTTAACATTGATATTATTATTGATTTAAGGTAAAATGATATAAATCCTTTTTATCATCAAGAATTTTAATAAATGCCTAGTGAGACATTACAATTCTGCTCCACCCATGTTTTATAACTAATGAATAAATGCTTCTTCTTTAGGACCATACCACACTAAACAACATTCATGTTTCCTCATCTTGTAAAAAATAAATTGTTTTTTCAAAAAAAAAAACACATCAACAAAAAAAAATATAATAATCATTGTACAATCCATATGTGTGTGTAGATCAATTAACATCTTTTTATTTTTAAAAAAATAAAAATGTCTACTGTGAGATTTTAAAGGTGGACTGAAGAAGTTCCGACCTTGTCAATCGATCGAAACCAACTTACTGTGTATGTCACGTGACCATCATCATCATTTTATTCCTATTTTTATTTTAGGAAAATATCTTGTGCAACATTACACATATAGATCATTTAATATTTCTATATTCCATACAAAGTGCACGGAAAATATATGGAAAACCATACATTTTCTGACAAAATTTTTTATAGGAATTACATACATACATATTCATTAAAAGCATCAAAATTAACACTAGATGCGAAGAAACTTAGCATCCTATCATGTATCATGACCAATGATGAAATATTTAATAAAAATAGACTATTTCATGGCCAGATAGTGCATTGATAAGGTAGTCTAATAAATTGCAACAAACCATATAAATAGACCCGCCGCTTATGAACCAAAAAATCGGTGCATCAGGTTTTCATTTACGTTGGGTTCGAATTTGAAGGTCGAGGCATGTGGTACCGAAATGGCGTTCTATGTATGATTTGGTTTTACACGTCACATTCAAATGATAGGTATCTATAGGTTTGTTCGGAAAATCTATATTAGCCAGTCATATTATTTTTATCATCATGTCAATATTTTTTTATTATTTTATTAGTTGCGTTGAGCAAAGAATTTATTTATTTTTAAAAAAATTACACATACAAAGGGAAATTAACTGTTCACGAATTTAATAAATTTAATAAAAGATCTTTTGCAAAAAGAACCCTCATGTGAATCAAAAGTTATTTACAAATTTCGATTGTCAAAAAAATCAACTAAACTTTTTTTTCCTAATTAAAAAAAAAGATCTTTTGTCCTGATCTTTTCCTCGTGTTTATTTATTTATCTCAGATTAAAGGTCAATTGGGTCGATTGTATTTTATTTTTTCAAGTCTATCGTTATAGAAGAATAAGCTTCATACAAACATCAAAATTTATTTACAAACTTTGATTGTTAAAAAAAAAATAAACTAAACTTTTGTTTCTTAATTTAAAAAAAATCCTTTGAAAAGATTAATCAACGGATTTTATTTGTTTTCTCTGATTAAAGGTCAATTGGATCAATTTGATTAACATCAAAAGTTATTTACGTTAAGCCTTTTTTTCTAATTAAAAAAAAACCCCCTCTTTGCAAAGATTAAATCAATGCATTTTGTCTATTTTCTACGAAAGGAATATAAAAAAATAAAAATTTTCCTATCCAGATCATCCACTATCTCTCAAATGATAGATAACGAACGATGGACAGCAAAAAACATCTAAAGCGAAACATGATTTTCTTTCGGTCAAGTAACTGCTTCACTCAACCTTGATAAAATTTTCGGTGCCAAATAGATAGAAATGGGAATTCATATGGTACGGCAATGTAAAAATAACCACAAACATTTATCACTTTTGGAAAACGAAAATATATGCAACAAAAAAAAAGAAAAAACGACCCATTACAAAGTTTTACCCTTTGATTTTGGTCTCACCTTTCCCAACAATTCAGTTGAGCAACAAAATGTTTAGAAGATTCGTGATCCGTTACCGTAACTGCACTGAATTTACCATTTAAAGTCTTAACGAGTCTTCTTTACAGTGAAATATTTCCTGTGCAACCAAGCATTTCATTTTATATATGTTAATTAAAAAGGAAATAATGTTACTGTTATTCTCAATAAAAAAAAAAAATTCCACTCTT